TAGGCGAATTAGTAAGAAAGTGGGGAAAAAAAACAATGTTCAAAGAAACTCTCACAATTTCTTCTGTAATGCCATCTTTTAGAAAGAAATATGTCCCATTATCGAGATCCGGCTGTTACAAGATTGTCTGCTCATGTGGTCAATGCTATGTTGGTGAGACATGCCGACCTATTCGACAAAGATTGGGAGAACATAAAAATGCTTGTAAAGGAAGATGTATCCAACGGTTAGAAGTGGCCGAACACATGGTAGAAACTGGACATAAAATAGAATTGTCTCAAACTAGCAGATTTGCTCATTATGTTACGTCTATGATTAAAAAAGAGATAAGAGAGGCTATTAAAATTAATAGCTTAGGAAATGCATTGAATGTGAGAAACGGTGGTAGAAAGTTGAGTAGGAACTACTTATGTTTACTTGATAGATTGAAAGAGAGAGAGGTTATTGAGCCGCTGTCAAAAGAAGGCAACTCAATTTGTCTGCTCGGTGATGGTTCTAACTTCACTCACACTAGTCCATCATGTTAGAGTAAGCTCATCAACCAAACCAGACGTGCCAGATTACGCAGCCCCACTCATGCCTTTGCTTGGGGGTTAAACGTTAATGACCCTAGACTAAGAGGTTAGGACAAGTGGTTTCGTAACTTGCCTGACATGCCTTCAAGCTCATATCTCATTATCTCAACCATGCTTGCTTACGGATTTAAGCAGTCTCGGTCAGGGCTCTCTTCTGGGTCATTAGGCCTTGATGATCAGAGCCTGACATTAGCATTTTGATAACTCTGATTTAGGAGGTAAGATAGAGCCGGATAGTCTTCTTGCCCTAGTGTTAACGTGAGACTTTTACAGGAATGACACCCAGCTCTGATGATGTCTATCATATGATGGACGAAAACTCAGCCCGTTTTCACCCGAAACGAGGGAGGAGGTCTTATGGACTACGTCAACCTGAACGTCGTATAAAAGCCAAACGGCTGCAGTACAACGGGATTCATCCGTCCTCTTCAACCTACGAATATCTTCTTCATGCACTTTCATACGGAAGGAAAGTCCTCCCAATAATGTTATCTCAGGATATTAATCGAAACCAGTTTTTATTCGTATCTACTTTATCAGTTTTGCCGATAGAGGTATGCACCGGTAACACAGCCATGTATGCTAGAATAGGCCCAATGTGTGACTTTCCAGCAATGAAGAAATTGCGTTTTGTGCACTGTTCAGAAACACACAGGCTATTTTTAAATAGTCTATGCAAAATATTCCGATTGGTTCGGTTTTGAGTCTACCCTTAACGGGAGTCGAACTCTGGTGATGCAGTGCACGATTTTGACTTATTATTACTGCATCACACTGTCGCGGGGGCGATATGTTACAAGAAAGAAATGAATTTCAAGACTAACGAGACCTCTTCCATATCACATTTTGTAGTGTTAAAGCAAACTTGTATTTGCTACTAAAATATATCACATTACTTATATTCAGATTGAGTAATTTTTGAAACTTCCAATATATCTTAAATAAAGGCTATATTCATACTAGGTCGAGACCCTGGTGAGGATAAATCTGTCGTTCAGACGAGATCAAGATATATTTTGGGAGACAAGACTCTGTGAAATCGAATGACACCATTAAGCCTAATCATTATTGTGGGAAAATTCAAATCTCAGTCCCTCATCACCTTATGCAACCTAAGCTGAATACAGCCTTTACTCAAGCTAAGTGAAACTTCATTAGTGGTAGTTTCGTAATCTACCCAATCTAAATATAGGTAATGCAATTGGTTTAAATAGCAAATAAAAAATTACTTCTTCGCCAATCCCATTACACAATGTTATGTAGAATTGGCCTCCTTTTCAGCCCTGAAATTAATGTCTGTCCTGTGACCAACTGGCACCTATGGCCTAGTGGCGTAATGGAAAATGTCGAAATTGTACTCTGCACCGGATTCGATTGCAGTTTGGAGTGCTGATGAGGCACAGGCGAGATCGAAAATGCAGTTCAACTGGAAGGAGAATACTCTTTTGGACGCTAAGCTAAATGCGATTAGATGGCATCGTGAATCCTACTCAAATCATGGGAAAATTCAACTATAAGTGCTTCTTCACATGCAACCTTGCAAGAATACAGCCCTTATTCAAGCTTAGTAAAACTTTGCTATTGTCAGAAGTGGACCAAAAAAGTTAGAAATTTCGGATTAGCTCAACCAAATACTTCGTGGTATAACATGCGGAATAAGGAATTACAGACCAAACTTGCCCTATTTGGTGCCGCTATGGGCGAGCAGTACAGTAGGAAAGTATAATTACTGCTAAGAGGGAGTCATGCAGATAAGTTGCAGACATATTTTTAATGCTCCTTGGAATTGCCATCACACCGCCAATACTACCTAACATTTATCTAAACCAGACTATATTCCACTATCAAGATCCTTGTGACTCATTTCTTAATTGATGATATGTAGAAGACGCTCCAGAGGGTTCGGAACAGTTAAGGGAGACGTTATCTGTCTGCCGCCAATTATAAATTCTTGAATAGTTTGAAATCTAAAATAACGAGTTTTCATTTAATACAAAACCAATGCAAGACAGGGCTACATCTCACTTGATTTGCCTCCTACCAACTTATCGCATATAGAGCTAAGTATACAAAGGCATTGAGGCTGACTTTAGCTTATGAAACAAAAATAAGGGCAAGGTTAGAGGAACGGGAAACTTTTCATGGGTTGCTTGAGTTAGAATATGATTGAATCACAAAAGTCTAGAGGTCCGTCAATTTTGGCGTATCCGATGTTTACTTCTATTCTCAGTAGGAAGCTTGAAAAAGTATTTTCGGTAAACATGGAAGAAGGACAATGAATAAGTGTCAAGCACTTCTCGTTTATGTCTGCAATTTAAAGGCTTTCATGCCCACATATGCCCCTCTTGAAATGCTAACCTGCTTGCAAATTAGAAATGTTCTCTTCAGACACAGCTTAGGTCTTACACTTTTATTGTAAATATAACAAAAGAATTCGGCTTCGGAGAATATTATTGGTCGTCTCCTATATCATATCATCATAAACTTAACAGAGCTCCGCTTAACTGGCCTTGGCGATCGGCCTCTAGACCTCTCAAACCGAATACTTTAAGGGTGCCAGACAGACAAGAAACTCACAATCAACTTATCTAGAAAAGCGTAAAAATAGACTCGAAGCAAGTAATCTGTGAAGATATCTGAAAGTGGCACTCTAGGCTACAGCAAAATACCACTTGAAGACTACATTTTAGAGTGGCCCTACCACAAAATAGACTCAAATTGGCAGCAAATATTCTGAATTCGAGTGGACTGGCCGTGAGCAGCCATAAGATGGAGCCATCATAGCTTCAAGAGATTGCCTTGAGAGGTGTAATAATGGGATTTAGTTGGGCCCCGGAAATTTTATTTGTTTAGTTTAGCCTCCCTTTTCACTAAAGATTTAAAATTTTGTCCCAACAATTCAAGTCTCCACTGAATATTCTGACTACGGTGCTTCTAATACGCTCGGGAATACATCCAGTCAGTAGTCCTTGGTTGAAAGAGAATATGTCTAGAGCTGCAGAGCTGTATGGGCCATGCGCATTGAATGCTATCTATAACGACTACCATGTCATGAAAACGGGATTAATCCAAATACATGCAACAGAAAAAAATTCTGAAACAAGAGGGAGCAATAAGGACATAGACTTTAGACTTTAGGAACTCTCCAACAAATTGCAAAGTTAAGTCAATTAAAGTGAATTAAATTATTTTTCGCATTAATTGTGTCGAGACTACCAGTAAATCAGTAATATGAGATGTATTCTCCCAATTTCGTTTAAGGTGATGAAGGACTGGTAGAAGAAGAATTTTCCCACAATGACATGAGTTGAGCTAACAATTTCATTGAATTTTACAGTCTTGCTTTCCCAAAAGTTGTTCTCATCCAGGCACCAGTGGACTGCAGTTTCGACCTCGCATCGGTCTTATCAGCAGCCTCATCGGGAGTCCGAACCGCGGCAGTGCAGGATGGGAGCTTGACACGCTAACCACTTGGCGCGTTCTGGGTCACAGGGCAAATTTGAATTTTCAAGGAAGACCAGGCCTTTTTGCCATATCATATTCTTTGGTGGGATTGTCGATGAAGCAAACAACAATCGACTCAAACTTCGTCGATTTGATTAAGAATAGTAGTTTATCCAAATATTCAACAGCTTAATGTTTATATTACAAAATCATAGTCATTTTGAAAACCTGGATTTGAATAAATACCCTACGCTATTCATATCTTCACACCTTTTTATGCTCCTTATTTTCTGGGTTGGAGCGATTTGCATATTAACCTCATTGGAGCTTAAATAGAGTTCGCATTCAAGTTCCCTTAATTTCTCACCCATGGATTGTCAATTTAGGAAGGACAGTCATTTATGAACTGCCTCCTTCCGACCTCGATTAATATGGGCTGAGCTTTCATCCGCCATCTGAACGGCATTTCTTGAACAAGGATTAATGTTAAAAAATTCTGTTTCAATCATAAAAACATTTTAATGAGGCATAACATGATTTGAATGTCAAGTTTTTCGTCTATCATATGCATGAGTATGTATAAGAAAACTTGAACGTAGCTCTATTGGCAACTTGCGCTTCGCCAACGTCTCTTCGGAAATCACCCCTATGCTCCAGTTTCTCATTATTCACCCATTTTTTTCAAGCAGACAAATAAATTATCAGGTTCATAATTAAATCGTCAAACTCTACTCCGTCTATTTATATTTCTTAATAATGTTCGCTCCGTACTGGAATGCCGAAAGTGATCAATCTCGGTACTCCAAGAAAAGCTTAGTTCAGTTTCCGATAAGACCAGTATTCAAACCCCTTCAGCCCAACTTTATAGGCAAATACAACGACACATAAAAAAGGCAGAGAAATTTTCCATACGTCTAAAGAATGGCATTTTATATAAGTTATCTATTTCTTTTCCAGATTTTCTTTTTATATATCGCTTGTATGTATGATTTCAAACCGGTAAATAAAAATTGTCACTTGTCCATTTTGAAAAATTTAATTAACTAACTTCTTTTAAGCTCATTATTGAAAATCCAGAGACAGGACGTTTATTTAAACAAGTAGTGGAGCATTATCACAAAGAAGTTGAAGCATACGAACGTCTCCTCAATTCTGCTGAGGCCCTGGCATCTCGGAAGACAATTTTGGCTCAATTTTGGAAGCAAGAAGGAACCAAGAGAGTGAGACCGCATTTCACTATATTATCCTTAATAGTTTACCTGTACCTAGATTGCAATAGTAGAATTTGTGCTATGATTACTATACCTCTTAATAGCTTTTTCTACATTCCTAGCTCAACGAACTGGATACTTCGAAGCGGTTATTTGAACTGCAACTAACGGAACTTAAGCAGAGAGCTGATCATTTAGAGAGAAAGAATCAGGAAAACAAAATAAAAAGGGATCAATTAAGAAGCGACGAAGTCAAATTTCTTAAATGGCGGGCTGAACAGCTCAAGGTAACTACAAATATACTCTCAATATTGGTTTTCTATGATGATAAAGTCTCAAAATCTATTTAACCATCGCGTTGTTTCTCTTTTCTGTTGTTTAGTCGCAAATCGATACTTCGGTCGTGGTTCCTCGAAATTAGAATCATCATTTTTGCCCATCGAATTTCCGTATGCTATAACCTATTTCTTGATCCTCATGATGGTCATCAAGGCTTCAACCCAATACCTATGCATAGATATACATGCTCACCCTTCGATAGGGATACAATAATATATATGTCTATTTCCACTCTGCAAGATATTTTATTTATAAATATAATATCCTATTTTGTCCATGGCAAATATACACACATATATATGTATATATATATATACATAGATATATATTATTTGAAAATGTATCATTTTATAAGTTTCAGCTTATTGTTTAAAAAAACCAAACTAT